CTCTCTCTCTCTCTCTCTACAGCGCGCCTATGACACCCGTTTCTTTTCTTTGTTTTCATTTTTTTTCTTAGTGTTTTTTTTTTCTTTTTATTACAATTCGTAGGTGACATCCCGTAGTTGGCGGGCCCTGGCCAAGAAGCAACGACCGGGCGCTTCCCTTGGCCGACCTCCGCAGGCCCCGGCGCGTTAACGGGGAAGGCCCGCGGCCGATAGCTGGGCCAAGTACTGGTGGTTTAAAAGAAACAACAAAAAAAACTTTCACTTTATGTTACCAGACCGGACGTCCAGGACCCCGCCTGACCGTCCGGGGTTGTCTGGTAGGACAACCGGGCGGACGTACCCCCGGGGCAGTCTGTCCGATCCCGAACGTCAAAAAAAAAGAAATCATAAAAATCTTAGGTTTTTTTATGTGACCCTGAGGCAAGAGTTGTTCAGTTTATTTTTCTGCATAACATAGTTTTTTTTTCAGATTTCTTGGAGCCTTTTTTGTGTTTTTGTTTTTGCTGAGACCCTCTTTGTCCCTCGCACGGCTGGGCCACCCGGGCAAACAAGGTGACCCGGGTGGCCCGGCTGGTAGCCTAGAAAAAATCCGGAAAAGAACTATGGTATGCAGAAAAATAAACTGAGCAACTTTTGCCTTGGGGTCACATCGAAGTTCTTTATCAAAAAAAAAAAAAAAGAGACACGCCCAATTTTTTTTTCTTTTTTTCAATCACCACTACCCTTCACAGGCAAACACAAAGTCCATCTAGCAGGCTACTCCTTAGGCTTGGATCCCACAATCTTTAGTAGGGGTACTCTCGTGAAAAAAGAGAAATCCCACATGTTTTTGCGGTGAGTGGACAGGGAAAATAATTTGGCTGTTTCTTCTCTGGGCCTCCTTCGTGGCAGCACGGGAGAGAGTTGTGGCTGGTTTCGTGGACGAATTTCCAAAAACTCCCGACCCCTCCCGCCTCCCCCTGAAAGCAGGTGCCTCTGCAAAATTGTGTTTTCCCTTTTTTCTGTTGTTGGTTCGTGGTCGTTGGCCGTTGGATGTCCGTAGATGGCGTTGGGACGGAGTGCATGTCGGCAAAATTTGTGGAGAAGTGTCTTCCCCGTCGGGCCTATGGGATCCAAATTCGTTCTTACGAACTGGTTGGCGCGGACACGACTTTCAGGGTACTTGTCCAACTTTTTCTTCAAAACCCACTGTGGGATCCAAGCCTTAAACCACCAGTACTTCCTAGAGTCGTGCCCGTTAACGCGCCACGATTTTAGGAAATGTACGGGCTACTACAGGAGCGCCCAAATTCATCTGTTTCTATAGCTGGGCCAGGTACTGGTGGGCTCGGGGAAGGGTTGGAGGCCGAAGAAAAAAAAAAAAGAAAAAAAAACGAGAGTTTCAAATCCAGGGACGTCGGGGAAGGCCTCACGAGGGTGGAAACTGCAGAGGCCTTTGAGGAATGTATCTGGCCACTATGTGGGGAACGAGTTTGTTTTTTGTTTTGTTTTGATTTTGTTCCCATGTCGTTTTAGTGTCCTGCCAGCCGGGCAGGACGTATGTCATGGGTGGCACATAACTGTCTCGATGCTGTAGTATTCTGTATCCGCCCTCAATCACAGCATAGGGGAGCTGTTTTTTATTTTTTATTTTTTTCCCCCGTTGTTTCACGCCCTCGCTGAGGGCACAATCACAAGAGCACTTCATAGAATGTATCTGGTGGTTATAGAGGCATTCGGGACGTTTGGTTTTTCTCTTTTTCTTCTTTTTTTTCCCCCCTTGTTTCTTCTTGGATGAAACTGCCCCTGCTCGGCAAAACTCGGTGCACTGTGAAAATCAGGCTCGGCAAAAACAGGATCGGAGGTCGTGGTGGTGTCATGCTTTAAACTGCTGACAATGGAGTTGTCCGGGACCCCCTGACTGTCCGGCCAGGATGTCCTGCCATCGGACAACTGGTAGCCTAGCTTTCACTTCATTTTGGCACCCTGATTGGGCCGGCAATGCCACTTGCAATCAGACTTCGCTTGATGCATTAGGGAGCCTACACTCGTGCTCTCTCAAGTGGAGTGTAACCCCTGCTGCCTCTTCCCAGTCTATTCCTAGGATCATGTCAAATGGGAGGCTGTCTTCTACGAGGAGAGTCAGGGAATGGAGAAGGGCCAAACTTGGACGGGACGGAACCACTTCCTTCTTCTTGTGGATCGAGCTAAACATGCATTAGCTAAAATGGTTTTAGAACCCGAATGGGAAGCCCGTTTTGAGCCTTACTCTTATGGATTTAGGCCAGGACGTCTTTTCTAGGTTCCCATCCTTCTCTAGGCGGAAGTACACCTGGACTCCCTCTATGTAATCCTCGACTCGCATCATGCGATTGTCAGTGAGGATACTGACTATGGGATCTGCTAGCGTCTGGACTTTCAAGTTCAGCTTCAACTTCTGCAACGCTTTTCTACTAATATAGCTGCGGGTGGCCCCACTATCTATAAGGGTCCCTACTCTACCTCTAACAAGTGGACCCGCCGCAGCTACGCTGCGGCAGAGGAGAGGGACGAAGAGGGAGGCGGGGCCGTTGTTGTTACACTGCCGGTTATTTTTTATTATTATTATTATTTTTTGTCGTCATATTCGCTATACACGCAAATCTCTCTCTCTCTCTCTCTCTCTCTCTCTCTCTCTCTCTCTCTCTCTCTCTCTCTCTTATCCTATCGACGGAAGTAGCCTCTCTATCGGTCAGCGTGCATGGCTGGAAAACTCTCTCTCTCTCTCTCTCTCTCTCTCTCTCTCTCTCTCTCTCT